GGAATGTTAAATTCCCAGCAGCCCCAGAAATGGGGCCGGGGGGAGATGGTGCAGCTGAAATGCAGTGGCGGGCTGGGGGGGTTGAGACAAGCAGCTCCCACTCCCCCCTGCTCCCACTAGCCCCCACTGGGCCCCGGAGCCAGGGAGAGAACCCAGGCGTCCTGCCATTCCCCTCCCCCGCCCCGATCCCGCCTGACAGCTGACGAAGCGCAGACGGGGGGGGGGGGTCTGGTTGTGGCCGATAACCCCATGGGGCCGGGGCAGCCCTTCCCGGCGCAGCCAGCGCCTCCTGGTGCCGACCCGCCCAGTGTGATCAGTCCTGACAAAGGGAGGCGGGGGGGCTGGTACCCATTCAGGCATTTGGTGAGGGGAGCTTAGACAGCGGGTGTGTGTGTTTGCACATCGGCCCCTGTCCCTTCACGCTGGTTGCACACGCGTGTGGGGAACTGTAGTTGCACGGCGTGCGAGTCCCTTTGCACGTGTGATGCCCAGAGGGTGTGTGTGAGTAGGACCCTGCCTGGCGGTGCAGGCCTCTGCACATGTGCGTGCAAAGGGCAAGCCTCACCTGCATACAATTGTGCAAGCGCTCAGTGCCCATGCGTGTGCAAGCCATGGGGGCAAGAGGGCGCCGCTCTTTGCACGTTCATGCATGCATGTGCCAGCCCCTGGCGGCAGATGTGCGTGCACGGCTGCCAGCTCTGAAACGTGCAAGGGCAGACACTGACCCAGGGCTGGTTTGCATGCCTGTCGCACACGCACTGACTCTTTCCCCTTCCCCCTGGCAGTTCCTGCATGCCCGGGTGGCCCCGTGCGAGGCCCATCTTCATGACGCTGGTGCCACGGCCCTGCTCGTGCTCGGCTTCACCTTGCTGCTGCCGCTCCTGGTGCTGGGCCTGGCCGCCTTCGTCCGGCTGGCCCGGCGGCTCCAGCTGGGCTACTGCCTGCTGCCCTACAGCCTGGCCGTCTACCGGCACCTGCCCGCCGGCCGCTACCACCAGGCGGCCTGGTGCTGCCCCCGGGCCCGTGCGCACGCCCCGGGGGACAAGGTCTGGGTGTGAGGGGGCCCGGAGAGCCCTGCTGTGACCCCCCCCCACAGGCGAGAGGGACCCTGCTGCCACTCCCCACAGCGAACGAGGAGCACCCCGCAAGATGCAGCCTGGGGGGATCCCCCCTTGGTGCTGACACCCCAAAGAGACTGGGGGGGCAGGGGAATCGCTGCTGGTTTGGGGTGAGCGACACCCCCTCGTTCTGCCGCTGGCTGCTTCGGGGGGGGGGGAATGTGTTGAGGGGCCAGCGTTTGCGCCTGGGGTTTGGGGGAGGGGCTGTTAGGGGCAATCTAGGGAGGGCTGTGAATCTGGATTGGGGGGGCTGTTGGTCTCTGGGACTGGACTGGTTTGGGGTGGAGGGGCGGGGCTAGGTCTGAGCTGGATGGGGTAGGGGGCCGAGGGTGATGGGCAGGCTAGGGTGGCTGCAGTGGGGCCTTCAAACGAAGCAGATGTGTGGGGGGTCATTTTATTATCAATAAAAATCCTTTTCTATCCAGCAGGTTCATTCCTTTATCTCTCCCCCCGCCAATGTTTGTGTGTCACTCAAGGGAGGGGGGCACCCCCCCACCCTCAGGTCCAGCCATGGGGAGCTCCCCCCCACATCTGCTCTAGGTTCCCCTTCTGCTCCCCGCCATGGGGGCAGGCGGGCTGGGCCTGTGGAACTCCCTGCCACAGGATATCTGCCAGCAGGTTCCCCCCTATTCCCCGGGGATTCTGTTGGGCCAGGCACTGCCCAGACCCTCTGCTGCTGGCCTCGCCCCCCCAGTCCCCCATGGCCGTTCCCTGACCCCCGCCTGCCCTTCCGCTCCGGGGCTGGCCTGGCTCCACGGCAAACAGCCGCAGGGGAAACACGCTCAAGTTTTCCATGGCTGGAGGGAGCAGAGGCAGGGCCCAGGGGCTGGGGTCGGGGCCGGAACCACACAGGGGGCCGGCACCCCACGGACGCGCAGCCCTGCCCCCGCTGGGGGGTCAGGGGTCAGGTCCGAGGACGGGGAACCTGCCAGCGGAGGGGACAAGGGACTGGGGTGAGATGGAGCCAGGAGGGGGGAGAGGGAGGCAGAGGCGGAGGGAAGTGATGGGTGCCCAAAGCAACAGAAAATCAGTGACAGAGCCAGGGAGAGAACCCAGGAGTCCTGGCTCCCGCCCCCTCCCCCCCCCCGTTCTAACCCACCAGCCCCCACTCCTCTCCCAGAGCCGGGGAGTGAACCCAGGAGTCCAGGCTCCAGCCCCCGCTCGGCATGTTTTCGAGCAGGCCGGCTGGCGGGGGGGGCCCTGGGGCTGGCGTCACTGCGGGGAACATGGGAAGCAGCTGGGGATAAGATAAGCGGCTCCCCCGGGGCGCATCCTGCGGCAGGGGAAGGGCAGGCCGGGGGCACAGAGCGGCCCATTGTTCGGCGCTGATGGGAACAGCAGGTGCTGGGCTGGGGGCCAGGCCCAGCCCGAGGCCACCAAGCCGGGGAGCCAGCAGCAGGGTCCCCCAGCCCTGGACTGCAGGGGCAGCAATGGCCAGGAAGGGGTTAACAGTGCTACTGGGGGTAGGGGGAGCAGGGGAAACATATCAGGAGGGGCTGCGGGTCAGGAGTGAGGGGCACCGGCAGGACTGGGGGGGGGCAAGTCTGGGGGGCAGGAGCTGCGGGTTGGGAGTGAGGGGCACTGGCAGGACTGAGGAGCACCGGCAGGGCTGGGGGGCAGGGGGCTGTGGTTCGGGAGTGGGGGGCACCGGCAGGGGTGGAGTGGGGGCTGGGCTGGCAGGGGCTGCGGGTCGGGAGTGAGGAGCACCAGCAGCGCTGGGGGGGGGCAGGGCCGGGCTAGCGGGGGCTGCAGGTCGGGAGTGAGGGGCGCTGGCAGGGGTAGGGGGTTGGGAGTATGGGGCGCTGGCAGGGCTGGGGGGGGCAGGGGCTGTGGGTCGAGAGTGAGGGGCAGAGTGAAGGAACCAGCTTGTTTCCGGGCTGTGACGCCGAGACCCACGTGGCACAAAGGAGGTCGCGGTGGCTGCATGGGGTCCCCAAAGGTTTAATGCGCAGAGCGAGGCCCGGCCGCCAGCCCCGGTGCCCGGCTGTGCCCCGTGGGCAGGTCCCTGCGCCGGGCGTGTCTCACAGGTACTGGGGGTTGCCCAGGTTCTCCAGCTCCACCTCGATGGAGACGATGTGGTGGCCGGGGACCATGGCCAGGCCCAGCACGCGCGGCTCGCTGGCCACGAAGGAGTCTGGGGACGAGAGGGGGGGTCAGACAGTCACTCCCTGCCCAGCCCCCCTGCTCCAACCACCAGCCCCCACTCCCCTCCCAGAGCCAGGGAGAGAACCCAGGAGTCCGGGGTCCCAGACCCCCCTGCTCTAACCCACCAGCCCCCACTCCCCTCCCAGAGCCGGGGAGAGAACCCAGGAGTCCTGGCTCCCAGCCCCCCCCCTCCCCGAGCGGGGGAACCCAGGCGTCCGGCGCACCGCTGGCTTTGAGGTACTCCTGCGCGGAGCCCAGGATGACGTTGCAGTCACGGTCGGTGCAGAGGAAGCAGCCGACGAGCGTCCGTCCATCCGTCATGCGGATCCGCATGTTCCTGTTGAGCAGCGTCTCCAGCTTGTGGCGGGCGCGGGCGTAGGGGGAGTCGGGCGCCTCCCCGTCCGAGTCCTGGGGGGAGAGGGGAGCTCAGCACCGCCGGGCCCGGAGACCCCGAAAGGTCCTGGGGCCCCCGCGCCCCCCACCTGGCACGTCTACCCTCCCCCGCCTCCCGAGCGCCCACTGACCTCCTGGCGCCCCGACCCTCCCCCGCACCCCATAGGCCAGGGACCTAGTAACTTCCAGCCCAGTTCCCTACAGCCCCAGAGCCCCACTGACCCCCCATGAACCAGCCCCCAACTTCGCCCCCACTGCCGGCCCAGCCTTGGCCCCATCCCCACCTCCATCACCCCGAGCCCCGCCCCCTCATCCCCAGCCCCACCCGACTGCCCTTCCGGCCCCGCCCCCGCCCCCTCACCCGGCCCCGCCCCAACTGCTCTCCCGGCCCCGCCCCCTCATCCCCAGCCCCACCCGACTGCCCTTCCGGTCCCCCCAGCCCCGCCCCCACTGCCCTCCCGGCCCCGCCCCCTCACCCCCGGCCCCGCCCTCTCACCGCGGGGCTCCCCCCGCCCCCGTGCGGGCCGCGGCCGCAGCACCCGTTCTCCTCGCGCTGCCCGGCCGGCGCCGCCATTCCCGCCCCGCCCGGCTCTCGCGAGCGCAGCGCGGGACCAGCGGCCCTTGCGCGGGGCGGGGGGCGGAGCTACCCGGTAGGCTCCGCGCACTCCAGTGTCACGTGGCCCGAGCGCGTGGTGCTTTGTGAGAGAGGGTTCCGGGTCCCGGCAGGCCCCGCGCGGGCGGGCGGCGGTTGCCATGACAGCGCGGGCGGCGGGCGGCGCGATGGAGAAGTTCCAGGCCCGCTACTTCACCCCGCGGGAGGTGTCTGCGCACGCGCAGCCCGGGGACCTCTGGGTGTCCTACCTGGGCCGCGTGTATGACCTGAGCCCGCTGGTCCGGCAGCACAAGGGTCTGTACCCACAATGCCCCGCGGCGCCCCCCCTCTAGCGCCCCGCACAATGCCCCGCGGCGCCCCCTGAGCCCCCCACAATGCGCTGTGCAACCCCTCCAAACCCCCCCACAATGCACCACGGCATCCCTGAGCACCCCCCCACACACACACTGCATCATGGTACCACCACCCGACACCCCCACAATGCACTGCAGCTTGCTCCTGGACTCCCCCCACAGTCCATCGCGGCACCCCCATACGCCCCCTCACATTGCACTATGGCACTGCCCATAGATCCCCCAATTCACTGGGGCGCCCCCATAGATCCACACACACACACAATACTCACTCCACCCTTCATAGAGTCTCCCAAGCCCCAAAATGCTCCTGGCACTCCTCCTCACAGTGCACTACAGGGGACCCCCCCCATCGGGACCCCCCCAGACCCTCCGAGTCCCAGAGCCTGACCTGAACCTACTGGCCCTATAGCACAAGGGTAATGGGAATCCTTCCATTCACTGGGGGACCCCCCCCCATACACACTGGTGGGCCAGGACCCCCTACCCCACAGTGCCCTGGGGCACTCCTCCGTATTCCCCTCCACTGCACCCCCATCCACCCACGTGAACCTGGCCCCACACGGATGCATGCCCGCCACATCACCGCATACACCATCTGACCCCTGGCTCTGTCTCCCCCAGGGGACGTCTTGCTGAGGCCCATCTTGGAAGCGGCGGGAAAGGACATTAGCCACTGGTTCAACCCCAAGACCAGAGACGTGAGAACTGGCGGAGCATGGGGTCGTTTGAAATGGGCGCAGGGTTCTCCTTCACTTCCTGTCTGAAACCGTTGTGATGTGGTTAAACAGCTGCTGGGCCCTGCCCTAGAGGTGGCTCTCTGACCTGCCAATGGGTCCTGATCCACAGCCGTTGGGGCTTCAGGGTCTGATGCCTCTGTCCCCTTCCCCCTGCCCCCATGAACTCCACACTCATGTTCCTGTTTGCGGCTCTTCTTGAGGGAGTGGGAGGCTGGGATCCATCATCCGCTGTCGATGGGGACTGGGACCAGCTGGTCTGGTGGGATCCTGGGGCTGCCCCCTTCGCCCAAGCCATGAGCCGATGTTCAGGGTTGTTCCCGTCGGATGCTGCGGGTCAGGGATTTCGGTAGTGCAGGCAAAGACCGTAGTGCAATCCTGTTTTCTGGGATCAAACAGCAGGCAGTTTCCTTGCTCAGAAATCCCCAAGCCTGCCTCTCCAGCCAGTCCTGTGCCCCAAAGAGCTCTGCCTCGTTGCTGACTCCCTCAGCACGGCTCCCCTAGCTTTCTTCCTCACCCCTGCACAGGCACAACTGCAACCAATCCATATCCCAGTCACAGGGAAACCTTTTGGCTCTCAGGCCTTGGGCGGTGGCTTCCTAGTCAGCTCTTACTATGCAAAGGGGGTATTTAATTGCTCCTTCCATTTACGGCGCTTAGCAGGCCCATCAGCTTTAAGCAAGTTCATGATTCTTTTCTGCCTGTAATACATTGATTGACCTAGGAGGCAGTTGCCGGGGGTG